ATAGTTCTTTACTTGTTAAGGTCTAATATATCTTTTATTATATATATTAAGAAGTTAATTAGCTCTTTCTTATATATCTTTTTATTATAGAAGAAACCTTTAATTAATTAGGTTAATAATCTTTTTAAGAATTACTTCCTCTTTAGATATAGTTATCTTTATTAAATTTATATATATTTTATATTTTACTTTTTAACTAGTGTATTAGTTATAGAGTATAGATTTAGGCACCTGGTAGATAAAGGCTACCTTTTATATAGATAGTTTTAGGTCTTTTTAGATAGCTATAAGTGTAAAGATAATCTAGGTTTTATAAGGAGAGGTTTCTATTATTGTATATAGAGCAAAGTTAGTTTAAAGATAAAGGTAGTAGAAATAAGGTAGACGTATATAACTTACTATAATGTACAACTTGCTATATATATATATTATATTTATTATATACCTACCTTAGGTATTTATATTTATACCTCTTATATTATATTTTCCTACTTCTATAAGATATATATTCTTATATAAGAGATATACTCCCTTATATTCTTTAATACTTTCTTTATAAACTAAGTAGGCTACTTACTATCCTAATAATATCTTTTTCTTATATTTATCAGTTGTTAATATATTATAAGGTTATATTTAAGATAGTTTATTCTAATATTTAAATTTGTTAAATAATCCTTAAGCCTTATAAGAGTACTAATAAATAATTACCCTCTATGTCTTGTAGAGGCTATAGACAGCAACACTATAGAATTCAGACTAGTTATATATTAGCATAACTTCCTGCCCTGAGCTTGCTTAGGATCAGAGTATCCCCTACAAGTAAACTTGCCAAACCCGTTATAGGCCACTAGGAAGCCGCCATCAGGCTTTGAAGCAGGCATCTTGATGTATGCGAGCTCTTTTAATAGGTTCTTAACATTTGCCACGACCTTCCCTTTCACGTGAAGTCGTTCACGATATTCCTCACTGCCTAGCCAGGTAGCAATCATCCCAGCCACCCTCGGTGCAGCAAAGGAAGTACCATAAATCTGTCTAGTCTGCGATGTACTGTCTTTCTTTGCGCATTCAACTTGACCCACTGCTAGTACCGTGACCTCGTTAATCTCGCCTTGTGAGTACTGTGTCCGGGCGCCATTAGGCTCCATAGCACCAACAGTAATAACGTCTATTACCTCCCCAAGTGCCGCAGGAAATGAGTCAATATGCTTATACACTTGGCGGTTGTTTCCTGAAGAAACTACTAGGGGGACGTCGAGAGATATCAGGCGTAGTATGTAGTCTCTCAATTCTTTAACCTTTCCAAATAACCCTTGCTTAATTACTTGAGTGCCAGATGATTTACTCTTGTAGATGTCGATGCCAGGATAGCCCTCAGACATTGTAATGACGGCCTTTCCTCGTAAATTCCTCGCTTCAATATCCTCCGCAACGAGTTTAAAAGCTGATGATATGGTGATGTAGTTGGCTGGGAAAGGTAATTTAACAATAACAATATCGGCGGCCTTAGCAGCACCAAAACGGGGCCCGTTGACGAGGGACTGCACGCAGGTACCATGGCCTAGACGACGATCGCCGTCTGACTCTGATTTATCATTTTCAGAAAGGTATAACCATCGCTTGGAGCCAGGTGACTGGGTGTATTCTTCGTGATGTGGGTCTGTTCCAGGACCAATAATATAGATTGTGATACCTTTGCCAGCACTTTTGGGGCATAAATACCCAGGCATATCATTAGGTTGAAATGATGCAAATTGAGGAGGCTGTGATAAGGCCCTTAAGGAGACATCTGCGCCTGGATCAGATAAGATACCTGGAGCTACTAATTTGAGGTTAGATAAAGGCAGGCTGTGTCCTGTGTCGGGGGTAGATAGCTCACTGGAATCCGGAAAGATCGCCTTTATATCGGAGTCATGTCGGAGTTCGAGGTCCTTTGCTACTTTTGCTGAGGTTTTAAAATTGAAAGAAATTGCCTGGGGACTACGCTTGTCTCCTTGTATACTCGCTTTTATAGGTCCAATAGCATACGGCCGTAGTCGTTGTTGGACGGCCATTCCCGCCGCCTTCGGCACCATTTTAGTGACTAATACAACATAGGGGATTGCTTGCTGAGACGCCATCCTGGGGGCGACATTGAAGGGGATGAGAGGCTCCAAGGCGGTTGGTGAAGACATAAGAGCGGTACCGGTACCTGTCTCAGTGCTTCTGCTAGTGCGTATGCCTGTATCTATTCCTGTGCTTGAGGCCACTGGGTGGCTTGCCAGGGTCTCATTGGGTTCTAGATCCTCAGGTTCCGGATAATCGTGCTTCGGATTATTTGAGACTTCATTGATTTGGAACATGTCGATATTGCCAACGGTGTTGGCAACGGGCGCCGCAACGACGGCACCCGCCGCGTACGGTACAGGTGCAACAAAAGAGGTCAGACTGGCCTTTGGCGTCGTAGTAAATGTGGCAGGAACCGACGTTGTCGAACTGTTAGGGATAGGATAACCGGATGATGCTGCATCGACAACAGCCGCCAGGCAGATCCACGTGCCTAAATGTCCCATGTTTGCGGGGTTGGAAAATAGCGACACGCAAACCAAGAACAGACAGAAGAACAAAAGGGCCATAACAAGTATATCAAAGGATATATAGTATAAATAGAGCAACCGGAGTCGCTAATAAGAAATCATGTTGATGAGGGGATGTCAATCTACAAAGGCATACAGCATGTTACGCTTCCAAAAAGCTCAAAAGTTAGATGGTAAAAGAAAATACACTATATAACTTAGCCCCCCTCATTTATGTCAAAGTGCAATATATTGCGGTTACTCTTGTTCAATTAGTTCATGTGTATATAAGTAATAGGTACTATTATTAAAGTGTAATATATAGCCAGTATCCTTGTTTAATTAACCATCATGTAACTCTCCTATGCTACAAAGCGGCTAATACACGCATTATTGTTTTACGTTAACGTACATGCATAGCGAGTGATGCATCATAGCGAGTGATGCACCTTAAAAATGCTGTTATGTATTTGGTAGAGTGCCGTGCCTTAGTAATTATGTAATAGCATTTTTGCATGCAGCCCACCTAGAAATACTCTACTTTTCTTAAGGTGCATCACTCGCTATGATGCGTTGCTTACTATGCATGTACGTTACTTTAGGTAGGCTACTCGTGTTAAATAGGTACTTAGGGCTGCTGAAGGGACTAAGTTATAACTGGTTTTTCTTTCTCGGCCAGCCCGATAAGGCTAAGCTATATGTAGGCTCCGGAACAGGCGCAGGTAGGGGGAAATAATCTTTGTGGGGTAGATAGGTTCTACAAAGAGTAAGTTAGACCGGAGACTCCGGTTACTTGCCCAGCTCTACAACTAGGCAAGTAATACGGTAGGTAAATTAGTAGAGCCAAGCGTTACCAATCATATATATTTATCTCAATATTCCCTCAGGTACAGGTAACACTCTACTTGCGTTGCTTTGTCGCTTGCTGTGTTATGTTTTAATATAACCTCCATTCTCAATCTCATCTCTAACATGCATTCTATATACCCGCTCCTTGTCCTTCTTTGGTCGCTACTATCTAACACACTTGCTGCTCCCACAACAAAAGGGCTTCGTTATGACACAGATATCTATACTGTTGAACGCCACACGGATACTTACGATGTATACACGCCCTATTTCGATCGACAACAAACGCCAGTTACGCAGTTAACATTTCCAAGCCGCCTGCCCTACGTAATAATTATTAATGAGGCTTGGAACGGCAAAGAAAAATCACACCCTGATGGTAGCCAGAGGCTACATCTGTCTGAGGTGATACAAGCTGTAGCAAGTAACAGGCACGCAAATAGGCCACTTCAAACAATCACTATGATGAGCGGCGTAGGGGTTATAAATAAAGAAACAGTTCAGATCGCTAATCAATACCGGAAGAATTGGCAAAAACAACATCCAGAAGCCTTCTTACCAGCGACATTGACTCTCTATCCATCTGATCCGTCTTGGCCAGCCTTTCAAAAATCGCCTCTCTACAAAACCGTGATGTGGACGTGTAAGGGAACTGGGAAGACTGTGGCATCCATAAGCATACCGGGGTCTCCAAAGGGAACTATGTGGTGCCACTTAGAATAAGTTAAATAACTAACTATAATGTCGAATGTACATTTTCTATCCATCAGAGAACCTTACGCATACGAGGTAAACAAATGTAGGGTGGCTTAAAGATGTATTATCTGTGACCAAGTTCTATCTTAGAAGACTTGGCTCTTGTACAGACAGATATCTATTTCCTGTTTGCCTACCAGATTGTCGCATGTCCCTGTTATCCTTTCTTACCCAAGGTCTATAAGTATTCACTATGTCACCTTCTTTGTCACATGTCTGTCTAAGTCACCGGGGTTGCTATTGGGTCATGCGATTTTGTTATTTCAAAAAAGAAAGAAAGAATATAGTTACTCTTAACTAGCCTAGTTACTATTCATTCTTACTGCTAAAACGACAACAGGGCTAGCAGTAGAGAGTATATTCTATATAACCTTAGAGATAATGGTACCATGACTTGAAACACCGGTGTAACATTTGCTTCCCTTCCCTCCTTCACTTGCCTGGCTGGTTTCCCTTTGTTTGCAAGTCTCTCCTAAAATCTCTGGACGACGTTGATAAACCAATCCAGGAGCGGTTAATTATCGTGTTCTGTTGCATTTGTGTTGATTTCAGAGCTAGGTAGCGTTTTATCAGCATATTTAGGAGAAAATTCCGTCTTGCTAGGTTTTGAGGTCAGGTGTATATCGCTGCCCACCTGTCCGTTCTGATTGAGTCAGCTGATCCACCTGTAGACATATGGTCAGCAGACTGGTTGCAAAGAATTTATTCTGGCAAGGAATGTGGAGGGCACGCTATCCTTGAAAAGTGTATCTATAAGGGTTAGTAGGTGTCAGATGCCTGGCGGAGGCCACGGGACAGAGGTCGGATACACCGGGGAATGGTGTTCTTAATACAGTGACGGCCCCCCAAGGCCTTTGTTCTCGTCCTTACGTAGAAATAACCCCCCCCCCTGTTACAACCCAACAAGTTACAGGCAATACCAGCCCCACTAGACAGCAGGGAGCACAGGCGGCACAGCATTTGTATAGAAACCAATAGTCAGGTCAAGGGGTTAACTCCCCTAGAACAGAAGAACTATAGTATAAGTTGTATAACAATAAGATAACTAACTACTGATAAAGACTTAGTATAAGCACTTAGCCTTACTTATCCTGAGTATTAAAAAATATATATGTTGGTTTTATATGTAGTAAGGTTAATAATATAGGACCCTACTCTATTAAAGTAAGGTTATTTATAATAGTGTTGCTTATTCTTGTTGTTATATCTTTTATTTATTTACTTGGTGTAGTAGTACCCTTGCAACAGGTAGATTACAAAGGTGTAGAGGATTCTACCAGGAAGGCAGTGTATTATATATTAATTATATAATTTCCTTTCTAGTTAGTATTACCTATGTACTAACACTAGTAATATTCTATTATAGTAAAAGTTACTAGTGTCCTTATCTATCTAGAGATCCTTAAAACACCTAAAAACATAATAAAATAAAAAAGCCTAAAGTATTATACTTTTTTATAGTTATATACTATAAAGTTATATATTAAAAATATATTTATATTTTATTATAGTAGTAATAACTAAGGCTAAATACCTTATAACTATATTAGCTAGAACAAAGATTCTAAGATAAAGAGGAAAAGAAAACTATAGTAAGGCCTTTCTCTATAGCCTTACCTTTAAATCCTCTATAAACCTTTTCCTAGTTATATAACCTTTAGTAGTCTATACCTAGCCCTAGTAGTCTCTATAGCTTATTAGCTATAACTAGTATAACTATTATAGCCTATAGTCTTAGTTACCTTATAATATTACTTTTTCTTTTACTAGTAATATTATTTATAATATTAAGATTTATTAGTTAGCCTTAGAAATTTACTTTTTTTTTATAAGTTAATTTTTTTATTTTCTTATATATAATTTTTTTTTAGAAAATATTTTTTTAAGATAAAAACTAAGAAAGTAAAGTTAAGGCTTAAAAAGTATTAGTTAGCTTATAAAAAAGTAGTAAGTTAATAGTTTATAAAGTAGCTTTATTATTATTAAAGTAAAAAAGTACTTTAGTATTTTTTACTATTACTTATAATTATTAAAGTAAGTTAACTAAAAGTCTAGTAGCTATTAAGTATTCTTTATAAAATCTCTATAGTACTACTAGTAAATAGTAAAAGCCTTTAGTATTATACTAAGTTAGGTCTTTATTATAACCTAACTAATTAACCTAGTACTAAAGTCTTTTATAGTTTATTATAGACTTTAGTACTTATAATACTTTATACTTAGGTTTATTACTAAAGTTAAATATTATAAAGGGAAGTAGTTTTTATTATTATCTAAAAAGAAAGTTATTAAAGGCTTTTTTAAGCTTACTTAAGTAAAACACTAGATGAGCCTTAATACCTTTAAGTAACTAGACTTTTTAGGTTTCTTTTAATCTAGCTACTATAATAGGCTAAGGACCTTATAACAGGATTTATAGCACTAGCTATAGGTCTTAGTAATAGGTCACTAAGCCTCTAGTACTTTACTTTACTATCTAGTTTTCTAGTAGTAGAGCCCTTATTATCTAGGCTCTATAAGCTTAAGTCTTATAATACACTAATACCTACTATTAAGCCTTACCTAGTTAAGTGCCTATAGCTATTATCTTATAATTCTTAAGCTTTTATCTCTCTTAAGTAACTAGTATAAGTAAAATAAATTAGAATAATAGTAAATATACTAATTATTTACTAACTTATTATTAATATACTACTAGTGTAAATAAGCTATAGCTATTTATAGCTAAGTACCTAATATACTTAATTAAAGGTAAAGACTAACTATTATTATTAAAAAGGTTTATATAAGGACCTAATAAAGAAGAAGTATAAGAAAAGTTACTATTATAAGGCCTAGATATACTAAACTTACTAATAGTTAATAATAATACTTTTATTAATAAATAGTTATAAAGTAGTTAAAGTATTAGTATAATTATATAAAGTTAAGAGGTTCTAGATTTTATATAGGTAATAATATTATACTTTTAAGAAACTATAAAGACTATAGTTAAAGAACACTAAGAAAAACAAAAGTATTATAAGTGCCTTTTATAAAAGCTTACTAACTAACTAGTATAGTAATTTAGTAAAAAAGAATATAAAAAACCTTTATTTTATAACTATAGACTCCTAGGGAAAAATCTATAAGTGCTTAAGTAGTAAATTAGATTAATACTATAAAGGTAGCTAATAGGCTTTATCTAGAAAGCACTATAAAGTAATAAGTTAAATAGGCCTTATTAAAGTATTTTATTATTATAAATATAATAATATAACTATAAAAAGGGCTTATTAAACCCTTAGTCTAAAATAACTTTCTACTGTTTATTTACTAAAAGTATATTAACCTAGAGGCCTAGGAGTAAGACTACTAGTAAAAGCTTTAAAGAATATAAATATATAATAACTAGACCTTATTATAGTACTTTACTAAGTAGTTAGTAATATACTATAACCTTAGTATAAAAGATATAAAGAACTTAAAGACTAAGGCTTACTAATACTTCTTTAGGTTACTTTACTTATTATAAAATAAAATAATTTAGTAAAAATACTTATTTCTATATAAAGAATATAGCCTATAAAGCTAATTAATTATAGTTACTAAAGAACTAGAAATTTAGTAAAGAGTTATAGAAAAATAATAAGAAGTACCCTTAGAACACTAATAAGCACCTATAAAAGCCTATATCTTAATAAAAGGATTAGAAAAAAAGGCCTTAAGGGACTTAAAGCTAGTAAATATAATATACTACTAGCTAAAAGGTAACTAGTATAATAGTTAGTTATATAGTAGCTAGTTACTAAAAGGTTAACTAGAGTTTAAGTACTATTTTATTTATAACTAAAAAAGGTATCTTATAACTATATACTTAAAGAGAAAGTTTAATAGTATAAGTAATAGTAGGCTATTTAATTACTAACTAGACTAAAGAGCTACTATAGTATAGTATATTATAATAGGCCTAAGAATTTAAGAGCTTAATTCTATAAGAAACAAGTAGGTATAAGTAATATACTTAACTTACTTATACCTTAGATAACAAGGGTACTTATTAAGATAACTATAACTAGTATAGTAATTATTTTATAAGAAAATATTAAGAAGATTATAAAAGTATTAATAAATATATACTCTAAGGTAAACCTTATTAGTAGTAAACTAGTAAAGCACCTAGGCCTTAAGCTAGCTAAAGTAAGAACACTAACCCTTAAAGTATTTATAAAAGAACTAATAGGTTAAAAGAAGGCTTATTAGTTAACCTTCTTCTTAATTAATAATTAAGGTTAACTATAGAAGATTTACTAACTAGTTATTAAAATAAATAAAGGAAAAGACTTACTTAATATCCTTATATTTAAATAGTCTATAGGCTAAGAAGGTATCTAGATTAATATAGCTACTAATAAGTAGTATTATAAAGTAATTCCTATTACTAAGCCTAAGGTAATTACTTCTAATATAGTTAAAAATAAAGAGTAAGTATATATACTTTATATTTTTTATAAGGTTAGTAAACTAGTAAAGATAAAACTAGTAAATATTTTTCTAAAGAAGCTTAAAAGTAAAGTAGTAACCTTTAATAAAGGTTTAGTAATAAAAGTATAGGTCTATAATAAGGTAGAATATATAATTAACCTAGAGCTAAAAAAAAAGCTACTATTTAGGCTAATTTATTTATTAAATAAAAAATAGCTAGAGGAGCTTTACTAATATCTTACTAAGAACTTAGTAAATAAATATATTACTATATCTACTAGTAAGGCTAAAGTACCTATATTATTTATACTAAAAAAAGATAGTACTATACGCCTTTATATAGATTATTAAGGCCTTAATAAGGTTACTATAAAGAATTAGTATTTATTATTATTTATTAGTAAGCTATTAAACAGGCTTTAAAAAGTAAAATAGATCTTAAAGATAAATATCTATAATATATATAACTATATTAATATTAAGAAGAAAGACTATTAGAAAAC